AATTTAGGCACCCTCTGGTGGTCAGTAAAACACAGCTAACTCTCCAAAACATTAATCTGAATTATTTAAGGCTTAATGGCCAAATGTACAATTTATGTAAATAAGCTTACATACATTTTTTTCATAAACGGTTTTGCTGTCTAAATCTTTGCATTCAAAGCAATACTACTTCCGTTACTTGTATATATATACCTTTGCCCTATGAAAGTGCTATTTATAAGTCATAAAATTCCATGTAAATATCACATACAATACTAATTCAGAAAGAGTTATGAATTTATCTTATCTATGAATTTATCTTCAGAAAGATAAAAGCAGGGGACCCATCTGGATTAGAGGAAACAAACACCTTAAGGAAAACATTATTAGGAAAACATTATTAAAAGCAGACCAAATCCACTCTAAACAAATTCACACTATGGAAACAAATACTCTAACTGGTAACATAAATATAGGATGGAGAGAATGTCACATACTGTGAGTATTTTAAATACATAATTTAAACCCTAATCAGTATATCTGAGGAACAAAAAAAACGTTTCTATCACATTAGCAGAAACATGCTATGTAAGTTTTTCTTCAACAGCAAACTTCTGCACTATTTTGGGAACAGTGCTAATAGCACTGGTATTCCTAGTGTTTAAAGCTGTGTTGACATGATAAAGTGCTATAATTTCAACTTGTTATCGTGAGGCAGAAACCGCCTCATTAATTTCTGCTTCATTCAAAACTAAGGAACAAATCAGTGTTTTCCAGTGGGAACAAAGCTAAATGAGCAACAAAAAGAAAACCCCAAACACTTGCAATATGTCATTAGTTTAAAATGTAGGGAAAAAAACTTAGAGGGTTTCCTAAGCTCTGGTTAGTCCACAAAACTTACATAAAAACGAAAAACTGTTTGGGCTGTCTGAGTGGCTCAGTTCGTTGAGTGTCCAACTTTGGCACAGGTCCATGATCTGATGGTTTGTGAGTTTGAGTCCCTGGGAGTTTGAGCCCCGCAATGGGCTTTCCACTGTCAGTGCGGAGTCCGCTTGAGATCCTCTGGCCCACCCTCTCTCTGCCCTTCCCCTGCTTGCACTCTTTCTCTCAAAAAGAAACATAAAAAAAAAAAAGAGAGAAACTGTTTTTAGTAAATTCGGCATGGATTGTTCAGTGCATACTTTTAATTTTAATCCTATTAAACCTGAAAAAGGCTTTTAAAAAATATTTATTGCTCTGTGTACAATAAATATAACATTAGAGTAACATACTGCAGATGAAATGACAGTATTGATATTTTATTTATTATTTTTAAAAAACTTTTTAAAGTTTATTTATTTTTGAGACAGAGAGAGAGAGTGAGAGAGAGAGAGCATGAGTGAGGGAGGAGCAGAGAGGGAGACACAGAATCCGAAGCAGGCTCCGGGCTCTGAGCTGTCAGCACAGGGCCCGACATGGAGCTCGAACTCACGAACTGTGAGATCATGACCTGAGCTGAAGTCGGACGCTTAACCAACTGAGCCACTCAGGCGCCCCACAGTATTGATATTTTAATAAAATATGACTTCTTTACTGTACTAGGTCTTTATAAAAATATAATATATGGCTCAGACTTTCCAGATACATCAGCACTTTAAATGTATTGAATACATAGATAAATAAGTGATATACTGAATATTCACATAAAAATATCTTGTTTTATCCACAATCTGGTTAATTTAGATATTTTAAAATATCACAGAATGACAGCTAACTAAGAAGGACATTAGAGATAACTTAGCCCCATCCCTTCATTTCACAAATGAGGAAGAACCAGAAAGAGTAAAACATTTGTTTGAAAATTTAACAACTAAGTAACAGCAAACAAATCTGGCCATCATTCTAGGTGCTTCTGTGTTCAGCACAAAATTAAATCTTTCAATGAAAACGTAAATGTTTTAAAAGTCAACTCATTCTTCACCCTTTTAAATCAACAATCCAAGTTACCACCCATAATTATCACCCCCAAGTGGTTAACACCCTTCCTTACATTGAATCTGTGGCCAAAAGGCTATTGCTTTATTTCCAGCTACGTGAGAAAAGCAACACTCTATTCCTCATTAGATAATACAATATTATAAAAATGAATATTATTTTTCAAGACTTAGCACTTTGATCAAGTATAGAAAGCATTTTGTTGTTAGGAAGTCAGTGGAAAAGAATCACTTGCGGAAAACTAGAAAAATAGTAACATTCAGCGGTATTCTTTCAAATAGTAGCCTTAAAACCTCTCTTGGGAGGATGTGTGTGTGTGTGTGTGTGTTTGGATATGGGCCCAGACTTGTATATAAAGAGCAAGGGGAGGGGAGAATGTCCCCACTTCAGCCTAAGCTGGGTCTATCACTAGGATTCAGCTGTGTTCAGCCACAACTAGTAGGTGCAGAGCTGGTCCAGCAGCCCAAGCTTGGATGTATATTGGGAGTGCAGGAAAGTGAGTCTGAACACAGGATTGTTAATTTCCCTCTGATGCAACCCTAGGATGGGCCCCCAGGGGACAGAGGGAATTACCAGCAAACCCTGATGCTCTGGTACCTCTCTAAGAGAGTTTAACAAAGAGGAGAGAAAAGCACCTTTCATCTCAACCTGATTGGATGCATAGTTCTGAGATGAAAAGCATGTGAATAAAGGCCCTTTGAGACAAAATTCAACGTCCCAAACTATAAGAGATCCAAACGTGCAACATGACTGTGGACAAAATACCCCCCTTGCCACTCTGCTGCTAATACTAAACAGATTTTTCTTTTTAAATTCAAACCATGTACTGTCTAAATTGGTGGGGGATGGAGAGGGAGGGGAGGTGGTCAGGGAGAACACCAGATGCCTCATATTTTCCTATTAGCTCTGCTCCTAAAAGGTATACACATTTGGGAAAATCTTTTGACCACTGGGCCCTCAGTTGCCTTATCTGTAAATCAGAGGAGTTGGGTACCTTCCTGTTTAAAATCCCATGCTTCTAGGTGAAAAGTAAAACATTTTAGTTACAAAGGTATAACTTTCTGAGATTGCAAAGTATATCTAGGGGTTAATCTAGTGTCCCTGAATAGGCCACAATCCTATTTCACAATTGTGTGAAACAATTTTGGTGAGTCTGTGTGTATACATAAGCATTTTCCAGGAAGAGGGATGTATTTTCTTCAGAGCCTTGAAGGGAAATTAAGTCCCCCCAAAGGTCAAAGACCACTGGTTGAGGCAGCAAATGGTGTCTTTAGTTTCTGATTTATCTGATTGCAGTGCAGATCAGCAATCTTTACATGGTTATAAAATCCATCCCACAAAGCCTTTTTGAGCATCTCATTTATCTTCATGAGCTGGGTTTGTAATTTTTCATGAGCAGGAAGGCTGCTCAAAATCAAGAGTCCTTTTCATTAAAGATTTAAACTTGTGGGGACTTCTGGATTTATTTTGATATTCGTAGCTAAAGGAGAACGATTTTACTACCTCAGAAAATTTCAAGCATATAGCATCTTACACATTTGCCTGTTTGTGTTGAATTATTTTACTATTCCTTTTTTCTTGAGTTAACTGACATGAAACAAAGGCTTGGCTCCTCCTTCAAACCGGCTTTTCTTTTTCTCCTGATGTTAGACTCTGCTGCAAAATGATGATGAATTAACTGTGGTTCTATTTGTAGCAGTAATTTTCATTTTTGTAATGATTTGATCCTCAAGATACATTAAATAGAAAGTGTTTATAGAATGTTCTTAAAAGAATTAGTTGAAAAACGGAGAGAAGCAGAAAATGACATTAGGGAATCTGAGGAACTGAAAGAGGAAAGACGCTCGTAGGAAGAAACGAGAGCCAAAGAGAAAATCTACATGATTAGACACCGAAACAGTATCAAATCTGTAAGAGAAACAAGGAAAGGAGGGGCATTTTTTTTTTTTTTTTACACAGGGAACAGACATAGCAACTAGAGAACACTGAATTTTTGAATACATTAAATGAAAACGACACCAAAACATCACTGCCGAGCTTTTCAAGAACATCTTTTGGCGGATAATCGCAAGGCGTTGCATGGCTTTTTGTTAATTAAGGCAAAGACAGGCGAGCGGAGAACATCACAGAAAGAAGGATGTTGCCAGTGATTATCACATAAATGCAAAAACGCTCAGGGGAACACTCTTTTGTGGTAAGGAAGTGCCAATAGCTGAGAAATGTTGATTTTCCCTGAGACAATATCAAAGAGGTGTCAAGTAAAAGGAAGAAAATTAGGTTTAAGCATTGGCCTTGTAACAAATCATTTCAGGTGATTCCGGACGCTTTTTCAACGACCCCCGTTTTCTCGGTTACGACGATCTCATCACTACTCCGAGTGGCTCTCAGTCCAAGGGGAAAGGAAGGCACAGCCAGTGTCTCAATTCGACTCCGGGCTCCCTTTCCGAATCCTATAGCTTCAGGTCACGGGCTCCAGACTCTCCGTTAACCCCGAGGGCGCCGGGCGGGAAATTTATCCTCAAACGAACCCGATCCCGGGATGACCCTGTTTGGGGCCGTGTATTCACGGAGCATCCTCCTGCGACTCTTCCCCTTTCGAGTAACAGCTCCGCGTTTCTCCTCTCCGCGCCTCCTCAAATCCCACTGAGGAAAAACGCCTGGGATCTCGCCTAGCACGCACGCCGCCCCGCCCGCGCCGGGCTCCGGGCGGCCGCCTCCCGGGCAACCCCGGGCGGCTCCCCGCGGCTCGGGGCAGGAGGCGCGCGCGCCCCCGGCCCCCGCGCGCGCCCGTTGCTATGGGAACGCACCCGGCTCGGCCGCCCGAGGGGGAGGCACGAGGAGGCGCAGGGGCAGATCCGGTGGGAGACGGTATCGCAAGATGGCGTCTGCGAGGCCGCAGGATGCGGAGTGAGCGCGCCCCGCTGGGGGCCCCGCGAAGCTGCTCCTCTCGCCGCCGCCGCCGCCGCCGCCGCCACTGCGGCGCCGCCTCTCCGCCTGCCGTTGCGCCGCGGCCAAGCCCCCGCCTCGCAGGTACCGCCGGCCGCGCGCGCGCTCGGCGCAGGGCGCAGATGGCAGCGACAAGTGCCGGCTCGCCTCGGGCTAGCGGGTCTCCCCGGGGCGGCTGCGCCTGACAATAACGCGTAAATAACTTTTTCTTGCAGCGGCCCCAGCGCCCCGGCCTGCAGCGGCCCCGCGCGCCCGCGCCCCACCACGCCCCTCCGACTCCCCGCTCCCTCCGAGGTGAGAGCGCTTCGGGCCGGTGCGGTGATCTCCGGCCGGCCTGGGCGGAGCGCGTGGACCGGCGGGCGGCGGCGAGCAGCCGGCGAGCGCCTTTACAATGGCCCTGACCCTGTTTGGTAAGTGCAGCCCTTGGCCCGCGCCCCTGCAGGTGGGCCGCGCCCGGGGTGGGGGGCGGGGGCCCGGGGCTCGCGGGGAGGGGACGCGGCGCGCGGAGTCGGGCGCGGGCCGGGGCGGCGGAGTTGGGGCGCCTGGGGCGCCGGGCTGGCTTCCTCGCGCCTCTCCCATTGTTTCCTCTCCAGGCAGGGCCGATGGGCGTGTGCTCCCCTGGCCAATTCTGGGCTGGGAGTCTCAGGTCCTGGGTGTTTTGTAAACGGAGGATTCTTTAAGATGCCAACTTGGGAGAGAAGTTAGCTGGTTGTTTCCAAACCTACGTTTATCAAGTCAGTAAATAAAGATCCTGCAAAGTTTATTTATTTTGAACAAGATGTCTGTGCATCCCAACCTCCCGGGAATTGCCAAATGGATCTGTTGAGTCTTGTTGGATCGGCGGGGGGGGGGGGGGGGGGGGGGGGGGGATTTTTGGAGTCGGTATGTTTCGTTGGAAACAAAGATAAGTGATGAACAGAATATTTGTTAAAATGGAAAATGTTTGTTCTAAGAAATACGGGAGAAGACAGAAGAAAGTTGGTTTCTGGAAGATAAGTGATCTTGGGAGAATAATTTTGAGTATTTTAGGAAAGAAATGTTATTTCTATGATGTAATTACTGCAGCACTATTGTTTCAGCGGTTAAGATTTCAACGTGTTCCCCCCCACCCCGAAGTATATAGTGACAGTGGGCTGGGAAGAAAGGCTGAAAAGATACATTGTTTCCAATCACAGAAACAGACTATGGTACACAGGTACCTTCCTCTAAGAAAACTTCATATGTGAAAATTTGGATGTTCAAAGTAGCATGATACATAGTATGATAATAGTACTGCTGTGGAGCCGACAGCTACAGGGATGGTCTTAGTAAGTTACAATATCAAGTTTCCGGTTACGTTTTAATTGCGTCATTTGATCAAGCACATTATAGGCATAACCTACCACAAATGTTTTTTCATATAGATAGACTGAATTAATCTGGGATCAAAAAGTTACATTTATTTAATCATCTTATTTTATAAATTAAATCAGATGCAGGGAGATTATTTTCCAAGGTCACATGGTCTTTTGTTTTTTTTTTTGGGCAAAACTGAGCCTAGAACACAATTTGCCAGTCTGCCCTATGCGTGCTTTGCCAAAATACCCACAGTACTAGAAATGACATTTATTTGGTGTTGGTTTTCTTTAGATGCTTTAAAAAATGTTTCTTCTTTCTCTGAAAGAAATAAACATCACACTGTTTTTTTCCAGTACTTTGTCTAATTTGTATCATTTAAAAGAGGCATTTTTTTTCTTAAGTATTGACTTTTTTTGTACAAAAGTTAAAAATGGTGGAAGGCTTAAGTCATAATTGATATTTTCTTTTGAAAAAGCATTTCTCTTACACATAGCTAATACATAGTAATATTTCCATAGGTGAATATCCCCGTAAACTTTTTTTCACTAAATTCATTTTCCTTCCTAAAGAGAGACTCCACATTTTTAAGGTTTGTTTTCAAAGGTAAGGTTTACGAATGAACCGCTTTTTGAATGCTTGACATTCTCAGTGAATAAAGTAGATACTTTGGGGATAAGCACAGTGAGTGATAAGGTTCTTTAGAAAGGATTCCTAAATTATTAGAGGAAAGAAAGGGCACGGATTTGACTTCTAGAAGATAAACCACTCTCACCCCTCAGAATCAATAAAGTGTCTTTAAAATTTTAAAGTCAACTTGTGGTAAAATAGAATTTAACTTACAAAATCTAATTTGGTTACAATTTTTAAGAATATTTCGCTGTTACAGAGCAGAGTATACGTGTGTGCAGAGGCAATTTTTCTGTAATGATAGGGCGGTAGACAGTCTCAGATCATTGCACACCACTCCTCAGGCATCTCCTCTCTGTTAGAAATGTAGATTCCTTTGCCCCCAGATCCACAGAATCTGCTCCCCTAGAGGGGCTTTTAAAAGGACTGCCCTGCGATTCTGCCACTCAAGTTTGAGAACCATTGTATTAAAGATAGATAAGAGATTTGCTCAAATTTGCCCAATTCAAAATAGCTTTTGTATATATTAAGAGCAGTCTCCAACAGTTAGAAGAAATGGATTTTATTTAAAAAATGTTTTAATGCTTATTTTAAAGCATTAAAATAAAATTAAATTATTAAAAATTAAAAAAGTCTCTCTCTCTCTCTCTCTCTCTCTCTCTCTGCGAGCCAGGGAAGGGCAGAGAGAGAGAGGGAGACACAGAAACTGAAGCAGGCTCCAGGCTCTAAGCTGTCAGCACTGAGCTGGCTCCGGGCTCAGACTCATAAACCTCGAGATCATGACCTGAGCGGGTCAGACACTTTACTAACTGAGCCACCCAGGCATCCCGAAATTGATTTAATTTTAGATATTACAGTTGACCCTTGAACAACGTTGGGATTAGGGCTGCTGATCCCCCACACAGACCAAGAATCAAGCGTTAACTTTTCATTCCCCAAAAAGGTAACTTCTAATAGTTTGTTGTTGAACAGAAGCCTTACTGATAACAGAAGCAGTTGATGAACATGTATTTTCTATGTTATATGTGTTAAATATGTTGTACTCTTGGGGCGCCTGGGTGGCTTAGTCGGTTAAGCGTCCGACTTTCGCTCAGGTCATGATCTCGCGGTTCGTGGGTTCGAGCCCCGCGTCGGGCTCTGTGCTGACTGCCAGCTCAGAGCCTGGAGCCTGTTTCAGAGTCTGTGATTCCCTCTCTCTCTGACCCTCCCCTGCTCACGCTGTCTCTCTCTCTCCTAGAAATAAATAAAACATTAAAAAAAAAATTCTTATAAAAAAATAAATATGTTGTACTCTTAGAATAAAGTAAGCAAGTGAAAAGAAAATGTTATTAAGAAAATCATAAGGAAGAGAAAATACATTTGTAAGCACACTACTAGTTTTATTGAGAAAAATTCTTGTGTAAGTAAATCCAGGCATGCAGTTCATATCTACTGTTCATGAGGCAACTGTACTTCTTTTTAACTAGTTTAGACAGAAGTACCTCCTCTCCCTTTACATTTACTCTTAATAACCAACTTAGAGCAGAGGAGCAATGAGATATTAAAGTCGTGTGAGACGATAATGAAGAGAAGATAGAAGCAATAATTGGACAAACATAATTAAGTAGTCATCAAAGTCTGAGCTCAGTAGGGTTTCTGCGAAAGCCTCACCAGAGTAGCCTCTGCCAGGACCCCATCTTGTGCATCTTGGGTGTGGTAGTTGGTAAGGTTAGTGTCTTACGTCAGCTTGGGCTCCTGTAGAGATATACCATAAACTGAGTGGCTTGTACCACAACAGACATTTATTTCCTGAAGTTTTGGAGGCAGGGAATTCTAAGACCAGCATGCCTGCAGGAAAGGCCTCTGGTCTCTTCGCCTTAGCAGGCACTAAACTCATCAGGAGAACGTGCGTCCTCATGGAATCATCTAACCTAATAACTCCCCAAAGGCCTCATCTCCACAGATACCATCAAATTGGAGGTTAGGGCTTCACTGTAGGAATTTATTGGAGGACACAATTCAGTGCATAGCAGCCAGCAATAGAGCCTAGGTTTTTGTTTTGTTTTTTTTCTGTTTTGCTTTATGTTTTACACTTCCATCCTGTTGTTATTTTTTTTAATCATTGTAAAGAATATTCTTTTTATGGCACATTAGTGAAAGTTAAGCTTCTTTTTAAAAAATGAGAGCCTCTAAAATTACCCAAGACAATTTTACATTTATATACGTTTAACCTTTTTTCACTTAAGTATGTTGTAGCAACTCAGTACCTGTCAAATTAAGCTGAAGCGTAAACACTGTCTTATGTCTTATATTCACTAGTAATCACCTTTGCTGTTTGAAAGGATATTTTCATGCCAATTTCTGTTTTATCTGTGACAAAAGAGCCAGACCCCAGTCCTTCCTGATTTTATGGCCCATTTGGGAGTTGAAGATGTGTGTTTTCAAGGGTTCAGAAATTTGCCAGCATTTTTCTGCACCTTGGAGGTGACTAGACCTCTCACTTATCAGCATCAACACAAATACTTTTTAAATCCTAAAAATGATCCAAATATAATTGATACTTTGCTTGCTCATTTTGCTCATTTGCTCAGTATATATCTATAGCAGTGTTCAAGAGACGTGGGCCCTGTCTTGTCAGAGCTTACTGCCAGAACTGTAGTGTATGCACCCGACTACCTGTTTCCAATAAGATTTGTTAGAACTTCCCTGAGAAGCACCTGTGCTCTAATTATTGCTGGGCCATGAGGAAAGTCTCAGGTCATCTAATTTAGGACTTTTTAGCTAGTGTACCTAACAGAACCCCCCGACTGGCCACACCAGTAAAACCCTATTTGACAGAGCTGGGTAAAAATCAGGTTATCCTTTGGTGGGAATGTCTGTCATTTATAGCTAACTGGGGCTGTGGTTGACAGCTCAGACAAACACTAGGAACTCAGTTGCGGTCCAGCTGGGCTGGCTCAACCCTAAATACCTCTCTGCTCTGTCTGTGTAAATTAGCTTTGGCATTGCCTCCTCCCCTTTTTTCTTTCTTTCATTACCAGTCACTATCATCACTGCCATTGATCACTCCTGATACTTAAGATTTCACTGTAATTTCTGACCTTCTTTCCACAGACTCTCGTACTGCCATGGAAACCTTTTTATTATGCTCCTGACACACCTGCCTTTGGGCATTTCTATAGAGATCCTTTGGAGCTCTTCAATGGTAATGGTGCATTCTTTGTGATGCAGTTAGGAAAATTTTGATTTTCGGTGACTGCCCTGACATTAAAGTTTGTTTTTAAAAAGACAAATCAACTATGCATCTTCAGTATGATTTATTTGACCAAAAGCCAATTTTGTAGGCAACTCCACTTGAATATACTCTCTGCTGACATTTTTATTTTTTGGACATTGCTCATCAAAGAATATGAGAGGGAGTTCTAAGCAGCAGTGGTGAGATCATGATCAGGTCATGGTCTCATGG